AAAATATTTAAATATAAATTAAGTATTTATTAGTTCTTGGAATTATGTGAATGTCATTTTCTGAGAGACTGAAACAGTTTCGTGTCTTACCATAGGCAGGCATTTAAAAGAAGCCATCACACGGCATGGTTTTTTCCACTAACTCAATACCTAATGTCACATACAATAATATTTAGGACTAAGTTATTATCTTAATATTTCAGGAACAAATGGGTTCGTCTATCTTGCTTACTTCTGGGGATGCAAGTAATGACAGTCATGGCCTTTGATAAAGCTATATATTTACTTTTGAAAAGTTATTAAATATAGTATCACAATAATGTTATGTAGCTTATGAAAATATAAAGACGTGAAGAGATTTTTCAGGCAGTAAGAGCAATGATGATGCAAACCTAATATTTAACAATTACTTCCTTTATATAACTCAGTACTTGTAATCCTGCCTGCTGCATACATATACTATGTGTTTCTGAAAGGAAAACTACTAATTGGATACTACTAATTTTACCTTAGGATAGTGCTCGCGATCGAGTTCTTGACTAGAACCAGACCCTGCTGTCTGCTTAAGTCGGTGCACTTTCATTTTCATCTGTCTTGTTCGCTCCTCCACTACTAAGCTTGCTGTAAAAACACACAATGGAAGCTTATTAAAACACGGGAAGCACCTGTCGGAACTGACTAGTTTAAGATTTCAGTGCTTCTGAAATGACTTGAATTAAATGAAATTTAGAAATAACACATGATTAATAAATTAAACAAAATGCAAAGTATACAATACCAGCAACTGTTAATCTAAAGGTGAACATGATTCAAGTTACAGAGAGTGAGGAACACAATGTTAGTAACAAAACATAAGCACCCTATTTCTTCACCTGATGTGACATATTGTCAACTTGCTTCATAACTGAATGAATAAAACTAAATTTAATTCTGAAATTGTGTTTCAATTGAATCAACTAGCTTTTGCTTGTTCTTCCATGAACAAATTTGCATACTGAACACATCACACATAGAAGCACATGCTTACATGCATGCATACACCCACTTGACATCCTTAGCTAAGCACTAGTCACCTGAAATCTACTTAATTGGCAATCATGCACATTTTGGAGGTATTCTTCTGAAATCATGAATTTTGAGCAACAGTTTTTGACAAATATTTGTTGCATAAAATATGGATTTACTTAGATAAAAGATTTAAGCCTCCACTCTTGATGGCTTGAATGGATCACATAAAATTCATAGATTTTTAAAATTATACATATTATTTATTTGCTCTTTTCAACATGTAAAGCAATGTATATTACAAAGATCTTTTTTGTCATAAGCAGAAAATGTATATAATTGGAGGGTAAGATTGCAGTATTCAATAAAATTGGTTATTTTATATCAGAATCCATCATAAACACTCTAGCTTGATAATTCTGTCTCTAATTTTTGTGTTTTTATAAACAAAGGGGAAAAACTAGGGGTATAGTTCTGTGCAAAGTATTCAAAAGCTTGTAACTATACTGGATGAGTTAAATTCTGATTTTTACAACTTACCTTTTGTTTATTTTCTAGACTACTCAATCTCTCAAGTGCTAAAATAGATTTTTAAGTTGTGTGTGTATGTGTGTGCGAAAACTTAATCTAAAAGAAGTGCTAAGATTTACTTTAAAAATCATTTTTTAATTTATTTTCATTTTATGCATATGTTTTTCCTTAATATATGTATGTGTGCCATGTGTGTACCTGGTGCCCTGGAGGTCAAAGATGTCAGAATCTGTGGAACTGTAGTTACTAATGCTAGTTAGAATCCATGTGGGTGCTGGGAACTGAGGCTATGTCTTCTGAAAGAGCAGTAACGGCTCTTAGTTGCTGAGCCTTCTCTCCAGGCTCCATACACTAAAATTTCATACAAGTGTTCATAAATCTGTGAGATTCTGGCACAAAGAACAAACAACTCTGACGTCCCTGAAATACTAAACAAATGAATGTCCATACAGTAAGAAAATAATCAATAAATAAAAATGAACAATGAGGATCACAATGCCACATGATAGAATGGATAATCTGAAAGCACCTCTGTTGAGCTATATGAGTGTATTGCCTGCATGTATGTAAATGCACCTGTGTCATGCAATGCCTGTGAAGGTCAGAGGAGAGCATCAGATTCACCTGGAATTAGAGTTACAGGCTCTTAGCTGCCATGTGGGTGGTGGGAATCAAACCCGGGTCTTCTACAAGAGCAGCTAGAGCTCTTAACCACTAAGCCATCTCTCCAGCCCCACTAAGACTGACTTTTAAGATGTGTTTGTGTGCATGTGTGCATTTATGTGTGTGCACATGTATGTGTGCATGTATCAGAAAATTAAGTAATCTATGTATCATTCAGTCTCTAAAACAAGTGCTAAAATTTGGTGATGCATGTGTTTTTTATTTTTTTGCCAAAGCCATTAATAGTTTAGAATTTGATAGAAATGCTGATAAATCGATTGATTGGATATGTTGATTTCATCTCTTATACAGACCTTATAAGGATATATATAGACAAGATTTCCATTACAATGCTTAAAGGTTTCTTGATGAATAAGAGACTTATTCATCAAGTCTCTTGAAGAGACTTTAAAAACAACATGTTTATTGTGTGTGTAAGTACAGACTAGTAATTCAACAGATGAAATACCTGTCTGAAACTTCCACCTAAATCTTTTAATCATAATCATAATATCAGTGAAATCTTAACTGTTTTACTTTATGAAAGTCAGTAAATTAGACAATCTCATTATCTAGCATCATAATTCCATAAAGTAAGCAATGACACGCACTTGCTTCGAAAATGTTGACCTAAGAGACAATACATAGTGACTACATTAGAACTAAAAGATGCTTCAAGACAGAGCTTGGGAAAAGTAGGTGAGTATCTTGTTAGTTACCTGACAAAATAAAAGAGTCAAAGGTAGCATTATGAAGCAAGCTGCTACATGACAGTACACAGTACTTATGAACTGAAAACAAAGTGACTGAAAACTCAGCTGTGTGTATAGAAACTCAGGTGCAATACAGAAAATCTTGTGCAAGTACAGCTGCTCTCAGCCATACACCTAAGTACCTCTGGGTATATGTTTTTGTAAATGCTTTGAATTTTGAGGAAACCAAATAAACTGCAGTCAGTTGCATCTATAATTAATGCTTAAAACAATACAATAAAGTCTCAATTTCTTTAAACAGAGCTTAAAGCAATGCTATCTTAAATATCCTCACCGACTATATTAACTTTAAAGAACTTAACATTTGCTAGTCCACACGCTGGTTTCTTTAAAATAAAGCACCAGGCAGTTCTTAGAGTTGATAGCTAGACACTGATGATTATTTCGCCAAAGTACCTGGCCTGAGGTACATTGAAACAGTCTCAGTGTTTGAACTCTGCAAAGATTTGATTTGTAAATATGATTATTTTACGCTATAAATAATTGCATTTAAATACTCATTTTGCAAACCTTAAAATTACTAAATTTAAAGATGATAGTATATAATTAAACTGAATGTTTAATTATTGTTTTCAGGGACTTCACTAATATGCTGTACTTATTCCTAAAAAATCTGAAGATAACAACTTTTTAATAGGACAGGACACATTAATCTCCAAATTAATATTATAAGCCATGATCAGGATGGACCCCCTAAACTGCCCACCAAATGTTACTCTTGTGCAATCTACATTGTTTGGCTTCAGATTCCAAAATAGAACCAACAAGCGAGTAAGCCTATCATTTAGCTGCTCAAATCAAAAGATGAGAGAATTGTAGAACACTGAATACATACTGGTAATATTTGCAATTTTTGTGATATATGTATTTAGTTCGTATTCTGAAACAATTGTCTGCCTAAGTTATCATGTATAATGAAAGTTTTTTTATCCTCATACCATCAGTGCAAATGCGAACGCTTGTTAGGTTTATTAAAGACATACTCCATTTTATTCCTTAGCTGCATACTGTGGAATAAAATGACATTGTTTATGGATGATACACATGACAATCTAAATTTTAAACTAAAAATTCAAGTATTTATCATAAATTGGAAACAAAAGGTATGATTCTATTGCTATTCATTATTTATAGGAAGTATAAGAGTAATGGTTAAGAGCAAATTGTCTTTGGAATATTAGCTCTCTATTATGTTGTTACAATTAGATTAACTATATATTAAAGATTTCAAGTACCATATTTTGAAAAGACAGATTATTCATCATCATTTAAAAGGTTCCACTATTTTTAACAATTTTAATTCTAAAAGTAATTTTTTAAATTTAAATATGAAATACTACACTTTATACAAGTACTTGAGACCCTAGCATTAAATTCATATTTAGAAACATTCTGAATTATAGTAGCGTTTCAAAGTAACAAAAAATTTTAAAAACTTAAAAGGCAAGTTATTACTATTCTTTTACAAAAAAATAATGAAAAATTATGGTCCTCAGAGGTTTTATTTCTTTCATATCTGTTACATATTAGAGTCAAATTTTCTCATTTTTACAATAATGTAATTATTTACCTTTATTTGTATTTAGTTTTGTTCATGACTTACCTTCTATGTCACAGTCAAAAGAAAAGGAAGCTTACTATAGACTGTATTTCAACTATAATTATAGACAATTCATTAAAATACATTATAGTACATTAAATAATTTATCTCCTTTAGTCCCTAAGATGTAATTAACTTTTCAGTTTATCAAAATTGTTTCCTGAGGAGACTGACAGGCTGAAATTTCCCCCCTAAGCTATGATCTGGGTGATATACTTTAGATTAAATAAACTGTGCTTTAATAAAAGAGACAAAATGTTTAATAAAAGCATATATTAATGTACTAACCTATGTTTATTGAACAAAATCCCATTTCTTCACACTGACTGTTTTGTTCATTGTACTTTGCAAACTCCAGTATTTTTTTCAGATGAATGCACATATATCAAAATGACAATCAGCATTGCAACCAAGCAAGTACAAAACCAGAGCTTGCTTTAAGGAGTTCACTTAAAAGCACACTTGAGAAATAATTTCTTATTCTAAAATTCAACAAAAAAATTCCAATTGAAAAATAGAGTAAGAAAAGTAATTATACTTTGTATAATTTACAAAGTATTTATTGTATCTTCTTAAGGGAAAGAATTCAATAGTGTTAAAAACAAAGATTCTGATTAAAATGATTATTTCTATTTTCTTTTCCAAGAATTCTTAATTTAATTCTTAATTTCCAAAATTCTCAATTTTCAAAACATTTTAGTGTGTGTGTGTGTGTGTGTGTGTGTGTGTGTGTGTGTGTAGACAAGTGCATCGGAGATGTTAGAGGGCAGCTTGTGGGAGTCAGTTCTCTATACCATGTTTGACCTGAGGTTTGAACACCGAACTCAGGTCAGATCTTCAGGCTTGGTCATTAGCTTCTCTCTCTCTCCTCTCCTCTTCTCTTTTTCTCTCTCTCTCTCTCTCTCTCTCTCTCTCTCTCTCTCTCTTCTCTCTTTTTTTTTTCTCTCTCTCTCAGGCTTGGTCATTAGCCCCTCTCCTCTCTCTTCTCTCTCTCTCTCTCTCTCTCTCTCTCTCTCTCTCTCTCTCTTTCTCTGTGTGTGTTAGGCCAG